AGCACACTGACATATATACACAAACAGATGCATACACATACACAAATTCACACATACATACACTCGCTCACAAGTGATTTTTTTTTTTTTTTATATATTTATCTATATCTCCAGCCACCCCTGTTAGCTTACCTTATGTGCCAAGAGAGTGGCTTGGAGTCCTGCTGCTGTGGGAATGAGGGGTCTTTAGCTCTTCATGCTATAATCATAGCACTGGGGAAATATTCCACGGCACCCTGACACAGTTTGGCAACTGCTGATCTATCTAATTATTATACACTTGTATAGAAGGGATATTTATAAGTGAGGAAGGTCCTGGTTGAAACAGCTATGTGGATTGCAGTTAGGTGGATATAATTGGGTGTCTTGCCCAGGGTCACTTACTGCCGAGATATTCTATATAGATAGATCATATAATTATATAGCTCTTACAGGAGAAGTTCCAAGTGCTCCTGATTTGCTAATAAAATACATGTCTTATTTATAAAGCACCAATAATTTCTGCAGTGCTATACAATAGGTGGGCTACCAGATGTATTTGTAACCAGATGAGTTGGACGCACAGGAACAGAGGGGGTTAAGGGCTCTACACAAATGAGCTTGAATGCTAGAGGGAGTGGGGTAAAGTGACACAAAAGCTAAGGGTAGGGTAGAAAGGTAAAGGTTGCTAGAATAGTATTTACTGAGTGCTTGGTGTGTTTTTTTTGCTTTTCTTTTTCTTATTTGATGTATCCTGAAATAGATATCAACTAATATTCAAAGTCAAAAACACTGGAAAAGGGGTATAGCCTTTGAAAATAACCCAAAATCAATGTTTGTCATGGCTGAGGAGCTCTGTGATTTCATGTCTTTACATACCTCCTGTCATGCCAAAAGCATGAGTTGGTGTTTGATGTGTGTTTATATATGTTAAGAGTTGTTTTTTTTGTAAACCTTGGGATGACATTTATTGTGGTCTTTGATCTTGCACCAGGCTTAGACCATAAAACATCTAGATAGCCATCACCAGAGCTGGACACAAGGAATTTCATAGAGTGGGCAATAGACTGCCAGACCAACCCCCTCTGATCCCCTGTCATTTATTTCTGTATTTTGTACTCCGCACTGTGAATCCTTTTTGTCAGATTAAATGTTTATTTAATCAGCTTGTGTCTCTGTTCTCTATGAGCTTCACTCTCCAGAGGAAAGCTCAGGTAAACACGTTACCAAAAAGGGTTAACTATATATGTTTTATCAGTAAAAGTAGAACTGTGATACTATAATTCTCCTGTGTGTGGGGTAACCTAAGACGCCCGGGTTTAAAAGTCTTGGTGGTGGCAGTAAAGTGTGTACTAAGGGGGTTAGTGTAGAAGGGATTGCAGGGGTTGAGTGGTTGCTGGGACTAGCAACAGGTAACCAGGGGTCTGGTGTCATTAACCCTGTCACTTCCACACTCTCCCCACTGTCTCGGCTGGGCCTATAGCCCACGCACATGACACCTCCCAACATCTCAAATGAACAGAGGGACACTTTCATTTGTTATGAGAAATTTCATGTGGCTTGCTAATAACAATTTATGCAACTGAAATGTAATTTACAACATTTTTTAAATGCCAACAAATTCTGTAGCGCTGTACAATATTTGGAGCTTACATTCTAGAATTTAGAGCAATTTACACAGACTGAATTCTAAACACATTTATTGTAGTTTAAAGACACATTACTGGGAGTATGATTGCCGTGGAGCTCTGTTATACACTCAGACACATTACTGGGAGTATTATTGCTGGGGAGCTCTGTTATACACTCAGACACATTACTGGGAGTATTATTGCTATAATGCTCTGTTATACACTCAGACACATTACTGGGAGTATTATTGCTGTGGAGCTCTGTTCTACACTCAGACACATTACTGGGAGTATTATTGCCGTGGAGCTCTGTTATACACTCAGACACATTACTGGGAGTATTATTGCTGTGGAGCTCTGTTATACACTCAGACACATTACTGGGAGTATGATTGCTGTGGGGTTCTGTTATACACTCAGACACATTACTGGGAGTATTATTACTGTGGAGCTCTGTTATACACTCAAATACATTACTGGGAGTATTATTGCTGTGGAGCTCTGTTATACACAGACACATTACTGGGAGTATTATTGCTGTGGGGCTCTGTTATACACTCAGACACATTACTGGGAGTATTATTACTGTGGGGCTCTGTTATACATTCAGACACATTACTGGGAGTATTATTGCTGTGGAGCTCTGTGATACACTGACACATTACTGGGAGTATTATTGCTGTGGGGCTCTGTTATACACTCAGACACATTACTGGGAGTATTATTACTGTGGAGCTCTGTTATACACTCAGACACATTACTGGGAGTATTATTGCTGTAGAGCTCTGTTATACACTCAGACACATTACTGGGAGTATTATTGCTGGGGAGCTCAGTTATACACTCAGACACATTACTGGGAGTATTATTGCTGTGGGGCTCTATTATACACTCAGACACATTACTGGGAGTATTATTACTGTGGAGCTCTGTTATACACTCAGACACATTACTTGGAGTATTATTGCTGTGTGGCTCTGTTATACACTCAGACACATTACTGGGAGTATTATTGCTGTGGAGCTCTGTTATACACTCAGACACATTACTGGGAGTAATATTGCTGTGCAGCTCTGTTATACACTCAGACACATTACTGGGAGTATTATTGCTGTGGAGCTCTGTTATAAACTCAGACACATTACTGGGAGTATTATTGCTGTGGAGCTCTGTTATACACTCAGACACATTACTGGGAGTATTATTGCTGTGGAGCTCTGTTATACCCAGACACATTACTGGGAGTATTATTGATGTGGAGCTCTGTTATACACTCAGACACATTACTGGGAGTATTATTGCAGTGGAGCTCTGTTATACACTCTGACACATTACTGGGAGTATTATTGCTGTGGAGCTCTGTTATACACTCAGACACATTACTGGGAGTATTATTGCTGTGGAGCTCTGTTATACACTCAGACACATTACTGGGAGTATTATTGCTGTGGAGCTCTGTTATACACTCAGACACATTACTGGGAGTATTATTACTGTGGGGCTCTGTTATACTCTCAGACACATTACTGGGAGCATTATTACTGTAGAGCTCTGTTATGCTGTGGAGCTCTGTTATACACTCAGACACATTACTGGGAGTATTATTGCTGTGGAGCTCTGTTATACACTCAGACACATTACTGGGAGTATTACTACTGTGGAGCTCTGTTATACACTCAGTCACGTTACTGGGAGTATTATTACTGTGGGGCTCTGTTATACACACAGACACATTACTGGGAGTATTACTACTGTGGAGCTCTGTTATACACTCAGACACATTACTGGGAGTATTATTGATGTGGAGCTCTGTTATACACTCAGACACATTACTGGGAGTATTATTGCAGTGGAGCTCTGTCATACACTCAGACACATTACTGGGAGTATTATTGCAGTGGAGCTCTGTTATACACTCAGACACATTACTGGGAGTATTATTGCAGTGGAGCTCTGTTATACACTCAGACACATTACTGCGAGTGTTATTGCAGTGGAGCTCTGTTATACACTCAGACACATTACTGGGAGTATTATTGCTGTGGAGCTCTGTTATACACTCTGACACATTACTGGGAATATTATTGCTGTAGAGCTCTGTTATACACTCAGACACATTACTGGGAGTATTATTGCTGTGGAGCTCTGTTATACACTCAGACACATTACTGGGAGTATTATTGCTATGGAGCTCTGTTCTACACTCAGACACATTACTGGGAGTATTATTGCTATGGAGCTCTGTTATACACTCAGACATTACTGGGAGTATTATTGCTGTGGAGCTCTGTTATACACTCAGACACATTACTGGGAGTATTATTGCTGTGGAGCTCTGTTATACACTCAGACACATTACTGGGAGTATTATTGCTGTGGAGCTCTGTTATACACTCAGACACATTACTGGGAGTATTATTGCTGTAGAGCTCTGCTATACACTCAGACACATTACTGGGAGTATTATTGCTGTGGAGTTCTGCTATACACTCAGACACATTACTGGGAGTATTATTACTGTGTAGCTCTGCTATACACTCAGACACATTACTGGTAGTATTATTGCTGTGGAGCTCTGTTATACACTCAGACACATTACTGGGAGTATTATTGCTGTGGAGCTCTGTGATACTCTCAGACACATTACTGGGAGTGTTATTGCTGTGGGGCTCTGTTATACTCTCAGACACATTACTGGGAGTATTATTGCTGTGGAGCTCTTTTATACACTCAGACACATTACTGGGAGTATTATTGCTGTGGAGCTCTGTTATATACTCAGACACATTACTGGGAGTATTATTGCTGTGGAGCTCTGTTATACACTCAGACACATTACTGGGAGTATTATTGCTGTGGAGCTCTGTTATACACTCAGACACATTACTGGGAGTATTATTGCTGTGGAGCTCTGTTATACACCCAGACACATTACTGGGAGTATTATTGCTGTGGAGCTCTGTTATACACTCAGACACATTACTGGGAGTATTGTTGCTGTGGGGCTCTGTTATACACTCAGACACATTACTGGGAGTATTATTACTGTGGGGCTCTGTTATACACTCAGACACATTACTGGGAGTATTATTACTGTGGGGCTCTGTTATACACTCAGACACATTACTGGGAGTATTGTTGCTGTGGAGCTCTGTTATACACAGACACATTACTGGGAGTATTATTGCTGTGGAGCTCTGTTATACACTCAGACAAATCAACATTAACAAACTCCTAGAAAAGAGGGACTGCTCCTCCTAAATCGGGACACTTGGGAGGTGTGCATACAAATCAAACACCCAGGATGCTTGGAGAAGAGACACGTGGAGGGAAAAGTATCAGCAGCATAAATACAATGTTGCAGGGTTCACGTTCGATCTCCATGGAGCTATGCTGATGTTGAGGATACTTTCGTTCGGCCCTCTGGCGGGCTTTCATTACTGCGCATGCGTATTAGTATTCCGCGGTTACTTCCGTTCGGCCCGCTGGCGGCCGCTCTTTACTGCGCATGCGGGAGCGGATGCGGAGGTTGCTCCTGCTCGGCCAGTCGGCAGTGCGCATGCGCACTCGGCTGTTGCAGGATGGCTGTGGTTGGTGTGGGTTGAACTGGGTGACATCCGGTTGGTTTCTTTGTCACCGCGATGGATGGCTGGCAGAGCGGCAACATCGGGCACCGCGGACCGACCGACCGGCCGGCATTCCTAGCTGACTGATATCTGGGCAGGTGGAGTATACAGCGTGTCCATTAATAATAATAATAATAATAATAATAATAATATTACTGTAACACCTTGTATTATTATTATTATATCCACACAGGGTGTCCATTAATAATAATAATAATAATATTACTGTAACACCCTGTATTATTATTATTATATCCACACAGGGTGTCCATTAATAATAATATTACTGTAACACCTTGTATTATTATTATTATATCCACACAGGGTGTCCATTAATAATAATATTACTGTAACACCTTGTATTATTATTATTATTATTATTATTATTATTATTATATCCAGACAGAGTGTCCATTAATAATAATATTACTGTAACACCCTGTATTATTATTATTATATCCACACAGCGTGTCCACTAATAATGTGTTACTGTAACACCTTGTATTATTATTATTATATCCACACAGGGTGTCCATTAATAATAATAATAATAATAATAATATTACTGTAAACACCTTGTATTATTATTATATCCACACAGAGTGTCCATTAATAATAATATTACTGTAACACCTTGTATTATTATTATTATATCCATACAGAGTGTCCATTAATAATAATATTACTGTAACACCTTGTATTATTATTATATCCATACAGAGTGTCCATTAATAATAATATTACTGTAACACCTTGTATTATTATTATATCCACACAGAGTGTCCATTAATAATAATAATAATATTACTGTAACACCTTGTATTATTATTATTATATCCACACAGTGTCCATTAATAATAATAATATTACTATTATTATTATTATATCCACACAGTGTCCATTAATAATAATTACTGTAACACCTTGTATTATTATTATTATATCCACACAGGGTGTCCATTAATAATAATATTACTGTAACACCCTGTATTATTATTATTATATCCACACAGAGTGTCCATTAATAATAATATTACTGTAACACCTTGTATTATTATTATATCCACACAGGGTGTCCATTAATAATAATATTACTGTAACACCTTGTATTATTATTATATCCACACAGGGTGTCCATTAATAATAATATTACTGTAACACCTTGTATTATTATTATTATATCCACACAGGGTGTCCATTAATAATAATATTACTGTAACACCTTGTATTATTATTATTATATCCACACAGGGTGTCCATTAATAATAATATTACTGTAACACCTTGTATTATTATTATTATATCCACACAGTGTGTCCATTAATAATAATATTACTGTAACACCTTGTATTATTATTATTATATCCACACAGGGTGTCCATTAATAATAATATTACTGTAACACCTTGTATTATTATTATTATATCCACACAGTGTGTCCATTAATAATAATATTACTGTAACACCTTGTATTATTATTATTATATCCACACAGGGTGTCCATTAATAATAATATTACTGTAACACCTTGTATTATTATTATATCCACACAGAGTGTCCATTAATAATAATATTACTGTAACACCTTGTATTATTATTATTATATCCATACAGAGTGTCCATTAATAATAATATTACTGTAACACCTTGTATTATTATTATATCCATACAGAGTGTCCATTAATAATAATATTACTGTAACACCTTGTATTATTATTATATCCACACAGAGTGTCCATTAATAATAATAATAATATTACTGTAACACCTTGTATTATTATTATTATATCCACACAGTGTCCATTAATAATAATAATATTACTGTATCACCTTGTATTATTATTATTATATCCACACAGAGTGTCCATTAATAATAATATTACTGTAACACCTTGTATTATTATTATATCCACACAGAGTGTCCATTAATAATAATATTACTGTAACACCTTGTATTATTATTATTATATCCACACAGTGTGTCCATTAATAATAATATTACTGTAACACCTTGTATTATTATTATTATATCCACACAGGGTGTCCATTAATAATAATATTACTGTAACACCTTGTATTATTATTATTATATCCACACAGTGTGTCCATTAATAATAATAATAATATTACTGTAACACCTTGTATTATTATTATTATTATTATTATTATTATATCCACACAGGGTGTCCATTAATAATAATATTACTGTAACACCCTGTATTATTATTATTATATCCACACAGGGTGTCCATTAATAATGTGTTACTGTAACACCTTGTATTATTATTATTATATCCACACAGAGTGTCCATTAATAATAATAATATTACTGTAACACCTTGTATTATTATTATTATATCCACACAGGGTGTCCATTAATAATAATAATAATAATAATAATAATAATAATATTACTGTAACACCTTGTATTATTATTATATCCACACAGGGTGTCCATTAATAATAATAATATTACTGTAACACCTTGTAGTATTATTATTATTATTATATCCACACAGGGTGTCCATTAATAATAATATTACTGTAACACCTTGTATTATTATTATTATATCCACACAGTGTCCATTAATAATAATAATATTACTGTAACACCTTGTATTATTATTATATCCACACAGGGTGTCCATTAATAATAATATTAATGTAACACCTTGTAGTATTATTATTATTATTATTATTATTATATCCACACAGGGTGTCCACTAATAATGTGTTACTGTAACACCTTGTATTATTATTATTATATCCACACAGAGTGTCCACTAATAATGTGTTACTGTAACACCTTGTATTATTATTATATCCACACAGTGTGTCCATTAATAATTATAATATTACTGTAACACCTTGTATTATTATTATTATATCCACACAGTGTCCATTAATAATAATAATATTACTGTAACACCTTGTATTATTATTATATCCACACAGGGTGTCCATTAATAATAATATTACTGTAACACCTTGTATTATTATTATTATATCCACACAGGGTGTCCACTAATAATGTGTTACTGTAACACCTTGTATTATTATTATTATATCCACACAGAGTGTCCATTAATAATAATAATAATAATAATACTGTAACACCTTGTATTATTATTATTATATCCACACAGGGTGTCCATTAATAATAATATTACTGTAACACCTTGTATTATTATTATATCCACACAGGGTGTCCATTAATAATATGTTACTGTAACACCTTGTATTATTATTATTATTATTATTATTATTATATCCACACAGGGTGTCCACTAATAATGTGTTACTGTAACATCTTGTATTATTATTATTATATCCACACAGGGTGTCCATTAATAATAATATTACTGTAACACCTTGTATTATTATTATTATATCCACACAGGGTGTCCACTAATAATGTGTTACTGTAACACCTTGTATTTATTATTATTATTATTATTATTATATCCACACAGGGTGTCCATTAATAATGTGTTACTGTAACACCTTGTATTATTATTATTATATCCACACAGGGTGTCCATTAATAATAGTAAATACATTGTATTCACATGGTATTAATGTAACATCTTCTATTCACATGGTATTTATTAAACACCTTGTATTCATATACTATTTATTAAATAACACCTGCTATTCAAATATTAAACGCCTTCTATTCAAATAGTATTTATTAAGGTATTTGACCTCTCTTATTCTTCTAATATTTCATATGCCTCTGTGCTTTCTGTGTCTTCCCTCTCATTTATATTATTGTACTTAAAGGGGGACTTTGGGCACCATAACAACTTCATCTGAGACCGGTTTTGAAGGTAACTTAGGGGTTAAACCGTTCGAGAACCCCTTGAGATAAGAGTGCCACCTGGCACCATAACCGTTTAATTTAGATGAAGGTGTTTTCATGCCTGGAGTGTTCCTTTTAAAGGGTTTAACGATTTAATTCTAAAGTGGCACTCCAGCACCGATCCTCCGGTCACCCAGGCGACATCTCGCTCTCAACCGATCAGTGACTCCCCATTCATAAAACTGAATTGAAAAAGCAATGTTTCTAGGTTTTTTTGTTTGTTTGTTTCTTTTTTTTTACTACTTGTTAAAGGACATTTTGTGGTAAAGATGACATTTTTTGTTTCAAAGTAATTTTAAAAGTTGGTTATTAATTTGTGGGGAGTGATCCAATATACCATTTTAATTGTATGTGTCATATGTCTTTGCCATCAGTATAGAGACTTAACGTGCAGATGCTGTACCTGTGTGGCAAATTGTAAGGTTTAATGTACCCAATGAAGGCAGAAAAACAGGTCAATACCTAGATAATGATGGCAGTTACTTTACATATTTCCAGACAATTTCGTTAATGTGATAAAATTGAGCAAATTACCGTAAATAACCTTTCTTGCTGCAAGTATGTGGATGTGCAGTATATTTTCAAAGCTGTTTAAAGATGGTTTCTGTGATGGCTAAATAATTTTTGGTCCTTGGACATACATGGAGTTTTTACTGATCCAATAATACTTTAACGGCATCGTGTTTTACATCATTGACAATAGGAAAAATTCAAGGAAGGTTTATTAATTACACTCAACTATAGTGAATTAAAAACCAAATGGAAAAAATGTATGCAAAATAACCAAAATCTGATTAGAAAACTATTTCCGACTCAACTATAGTCACTGCTTGGTTATTTTAACCAGCTGATTTTCCATTCACTACAATTCAGCGTTAAATAAACTCCTTGGTGTTAGAGGGCTATGCACATTAGTTGGGAGGTATTCCTACTCAAGATGCGACAGGAACAGAGTTGCAGAATTTGGAGTCCATCGTGGTTTATATGGTTTATGAGTATTAGGGATTTCTTTGGCGTTTTTGCTTGCATGTCTACATTTACTTGTCAGTACCTCCATATGTTCCTTGACACATAACTTCCTCATGCTGTTTTGAAACACATAAAAAGTTCTTAGGAGGTTAGTCAATGACCTCATCAAAACCGCTCCTTTAAGATTTCTTGAATGAAATATTTCCTGCAAAAAGTGGACACTCCACACTGCAGGGCAGCTTTCAGAATCCATACGGGTTCATGATAACATGGGGAACCTGGCATCAGTCGGTATAAATTGTTCTTTTAAAGTGGATTCTTCTGAGAGGAACAGTTTCACTTTAAGATATTCCATGTAAATTTTCACTATTTTGGATGTTTGAAGGTCAGTAAATCTCTGTTTAAAAAGGTGTCAGCCGCAGAAAAAAATAAAAATAAACTAAAAGCAATGCATGATTGTTACAACATTCTATAATTATTGATTTAATTGGTAGCACCCTGAAAAAACAGAGGTAGCACCTTCAAAAATAATAGGTCTTTGTGACATTATTCATTATTCAGGCGATAATTGACAAGTATGTTAATTATCATACAAGTCATCCTCCACACCTTTAAACCAGTTAGGGAGGATTGTTTCTGGAAATAGGCACATTTGAAGGCCACTTTAGGGACCTACCATGTCCTTTGTGAAATTAATTTCCAATACATTGACCTTCTACATCAACAAATCGACCTCATTGGCAGTGAACTTTCTCTTGTAATCAGGGAGGCTATGTATGCATTGTAAAATTGTTTAACCCCACCCTGGACAAATGGAATTTAAGAACTGTAATGATCACAAGAAAATTATAAACCTAGTCCCATTGTGAGTAGTACTGGTAGTTAAACAGGGATTTGTCACTGAGAAGCTATTAAGGTATTTACGGAAGTGAATTGTGTGTGTGTGGGGGGGGGAGGTGAGAAGGAAATAAAACTTGCCCTCACTGCATTTGCATTGTTTGGGTAATGGAGTCGTCCCATGATACCTCAAGTTCGCTCAGCATGTATGGAAACATTTTGAAAGAGCACATATGCACTCAGCGTTTTCTTCAGCAGTACCGTATGTATGCATGCACCGTGCATACAGTACTGCAGGGTTTAACTTGTATGGTATGCCTAGCAATGCATGTGAATTAAAAATGTATCTATAAATAATTAAATTAATATTAATCAAATATCTATTCTATTGAGTTTATTTAAAATTCCAGAAAAGTCAGTCCCTCTTTAAATCGTGAGACATCAAATCATTGGTGCTTCATGATCCTGAGATGGCAAACCTCATGGACCAATACTGCATATAAAGAAAGGGCCCACACACTCACAATAAGTGAAATCACAGGCTTTGATAGGAATTAGATACTTAGACCAATGCTTTGGCCTTGCAATGTGGCACCCAGTAGAACCCAGTTCAAAAACTGTTTTGTTCCTTACAATGGAGGGGCACCAGGGCATTCCTGATTCCATAACCGTTACGGTGAGCTTGGAGTGTTCTTTTAATGCATTGGCGTTCATATATTCTTTTATTTGTTTTTCTTATGTCCAGGTAATGAAGGGTTGGAATGAGAAGCTGCCGGCGCTTGTTTTTGAGGTGCTTACGCCTTGGGCACCGACGTAAGTGTAGGTTTCTGGGCCGGTTTCTGGATTACCTTCGTTATGGGCGTCTTTGTGTTGTCTCCCTTGCCTACAACTCCTTCACCAACAGTGACGTTATCATTGATTCTCTTTTTGAGCCCATTTATTGGTTGGTGGATCATGTGACAAGATGGTTTGGCATAGTAAGTCCTAAAAAAAGTTTCTCAAATGTATCATTTCATATTTTATAAGTAAACATTTCCCCTTTCATTCATGGTATTTGGATACATATTGCAAATATTATTTTAGATTTTATATATGTCGGGTGTGACCACCCTTTAAAACGGCATCAATTCTTGTAGGTACACTTGCACATTGCTTTGTAAGGCACTCGGCAGGTAGATTGTTCCAAACTAGTCTAGATTGCAAAATGTCTTTTGGTACGGTTTGTATGAACCAAATTCTTTTTACTCTATACTCAAATAAATTGATCTGTGCAGCATTTATCTGTGGATTCTTGTCCAGTGAATAAGAATCGATCAGTTTGATTAGGTGTGGATTAAAAAGATATGTACAAGAAATAGGGGAAAACGCAGTCTGAACCTAAGAAGAAATTAACTCATAGTGTAAAAATTGCATGCAGCATGTATATAGACATGCTATTAGAAGCACTCACAGAGTGAAGGTAGTCAAAGCGTCTTAAGGGTGCCACCCCTGATCCTTTAGGGGGGTAAAGTATGGATCCACCAAACTCAGGAACCAGAAAGGAGCAGGAATCGTGGTATAAAAAATATAAACGTATTTATTTATAAAAGAGCTGCTGGTCCTACGCGTTTCGTTCTATAAAAATTAGAACTTCCTCAGGGACCATAATCAATTTAAAAGGTAAATTATACAAACAAATATGCAGTACAAAAAATTCCCGCTATACCTCCCACCCTCCCACAGTCCCAATATATATGACTCCCTAGTCCATCATTGGTGGTGTGGTGGGTGTGTTCCCGCTCCGTTCCTGATTCATAATCATCATCTCAGCAACAGCTGTGCGTCGTGTTCTTTCCCGCTCAGCTGTTCTTCCTTCAACATCACCGGAAGTGACGTGTGCATTGCACGAGATCTTAGGCACACTTCGTTATTGATTCATGAAAGTCCTCATTACAAGAAAAATCATTATCAAAATGACACTATGGGGAGAGAACAGGGGAAGTTCCAACTATCTTTGGAACACATGAAAAGATCTCGTGCAACGCACACGTCTCTTCCGGTGACGTCGAAGGAAAAACAGCTGAGCGGGAAAGAACACAACGCACAGCTGACGCCCGAGAAGATTATTTTGAATCTGGAAAGGAGCAGGAACACACTGAACACACCATTAATGATGGACTAGGGGAGTCATATATATTGGGACTGTTGGAGGATGGGAGGTATAGTGAGAATTTTTTGTACTGCATATTTGTTTGTATAATTTCCCTTTTAAATTGATTTATGGTCCCTGAGGAAGTTCTAATTTTATAGAATCAAACGCATAGGACCAGTGGCTCTTTTATAAATAAATACGTTTATATTTTTTATACCACGATTCCTGTTCCTTTCTGGTTCCTGAGTTCAGTGGATCCATACTTTACCCCCCTAAAGGATTAGGGATGGCACCCTGAAGGCTCTTTGACTACCTTCACTCTGTGAGTGCTTCTAATAGCGTGTCTATATACATGCTGTATGCAATTTTACACTATGAGTTGTTAATTTCTTTTTAGGTTCAGACAGCGTTTTCCCCTATTTCTTGTGCATATATTTGTTCATCCAGGCATCCACGTGGGAAGGTTGCCAAGGGAAGCTGTCATTTAAGTTACATTATTATTATTTGTAAACACATATCACTTGTATTTTGTGTTTTTGGTACCACATGGATTAAAGGGAATTTGATTTGGATGAACCTCAAACTATTTGTTGTACAAGTCTATGTCTTTGGTAAAACCATACAAGGTAGGCTCAGACCTGCTCGTGGCTTGACATATTGTTGTTGTTTCAGATGTTACAAATCCATATTATCAAAATCAATTCATTCTGTCCATAGCTGGAGGCCATTCTCTGGCTGAACGCTGACATATTTAGTCAATTAATGATTTCTAAATTTGAACTAAATTGATTTTGTTAATGGTGAAGTGTAACTTCCAGAATAGAAATATGCTGGGCGAGGGGCAGGGTTGAGGATCCTTGATTTGTGGCAAATCATTTAAACAGTTTGACACAGAACTGAAGTGAGATGCTAGAGACATTCAGACAGGATAACCACTATGGTTATGCACATAGAGAACTCCTTTATTTCTTGTCCATTAATCGTGAGTGCCTCTTCCCCCTTCCCCTTTCTTTTTTCTTCACGAATTCAGAATAACTGAAAGTACAATTTCTTCAAAATTTAATGTGTATTGTGAGCAAGACAAATGCCACAGGACAAATGTATATTTTGACAGTTGACTAGTGAGCTCACATGTAGAAGAAAAGCTAAGAGTTTATTGTCTGTATTTTCTTTCTACCCTGCCATTTCCAGGTGTTTGTGGCCCTGGTCATTATACTGACGAGCTCCATCGTGTTGATAGTTTATATCTGCGTGCTGCCTCTCATTCTGCAGACCTACTCTACAAGCTGGATATGTTGGCACGTCTGCTACGGACATTGGAATCTCATTATGATAGTCTTTCACTATTACAAAGCAATTACAACCTCGCCTGGATACCCACCACAGGTATATATTGTAACCAAGAACATTTTGCATTTTTATTGACTGGCATTTCGCCTGCTTTGGGAGTGCTCAAACCTCCACCCTTTAAATTTGTTTGGAAAGATTAGAAATCTCTGATTGACAGGAACATAGTAATGACAGACTGGGATCTGTTTTAAAAATCTGCATAAATATTCCTATTAAAGATTGCTCCTGTAAATCGTGGTGATCTGAGGTCTAAGATGAGAGTGGAAGACATATGTGGAATGCATTCCAGCACTATAAATGCTTGTATTCCTGACGCTAGAGTGTTCCATTAGGAGAGAGGTATAGAGGAGGAGAGCTTATGGAGTAAAGACAGATCTTTAAAAAAAAGCACAACCGACTAACCTATTCTACACATTGCTGAACACATTTACAGAAATAGAACTTGAAAATGTGACACATTAGTAGCCCAAATAAAACCCAATATATAGTTGGAATTAGACTCATTTAGGGACATTGCTGTTAAACCCCTGCCACTCCATTCTGTATTATGTTTTGAATAGAACATTTTAACATGAATATACCGCTTTTTTTTTTGTTTTTGTTTTTTTTGCTTAAGATTTTTTTATTTGTTTTTACATTTACTATGGAAAATGCAGGCACTTGCAATATTCCCTGTTTAAAAATGACATTTTGTTTTCCTTTAATAAGAAACTATAATCTTGCGGCATTAATAATTTCAGCACTGTGACTGGGTTTTGCAAAGAATCATTCTTTCTGCTGTTTATACATATTGTTTTAGAGAAATGTTCCTGAAAAGCCATATCAAAACCTAAACTGTTGATTTTTGTCTTTTCCAGAATAAGCTGGATATTCCATCTGTGTCTGTGTGCAGGAAATGTATTGCACCAAAGCCTGCTCGGACACATCACTGTAGCATCTGCAGTAGGTAAGCTTACATTCAGTGGTGATAACAATGAAAACATTTATTAAAAAGAAACAGTGAAGTCACCGAGACCACTTCATCTCATTGATGGTCCTCTCATTTTAATCCTGGAATTTAAAATATAGAAGTTTGTAGAAACTGCAATGTTTCACACATTCATCTCTAGTGACTGTCTTCCTGATAGCCACCAGAGGCAGTTCCTCTGCTAGAACCACGTAACGTTGCAGCTCATAGGAAAGGATTGGATGCACGTGCGACGCCACCGCTCATGCGAATCAGGTCCCGAATGCTCCCCTATGGAGGAGCATTGGAATAGACTAGTAATGGAGGAAGCGACAATGATATTGCAGGAGGCGGAGATGTCAGCAGCGCCTTTAATTTATCCAGCAAGTATTTTATTCAGTTAATTTTGACGAGAATAGGTGAAAATTCCTGGTGCACAAGTTGTGGAGTAAAACACGTTTTTAATAAGCACAAGCCAAATGACTCTGATATGGAGTCAAAACATTGTCGTTTGACTTGTTCCTATTAAGAGGCTGCTCTATTACACAACTTCTGTCTTAGAAGCACAGAGTGTTGATTCTGTGTGCAATCCCCTCCTGTTTAATTCATTGTCTGCCAAAGGAATATCTGTTACTTATTTATGAAGCTGCTTATCGGGTACATCCTATACTGAAAGTGACACTCCAGGCACCCACACTTGGTGCAATTAATTAAATTACATCTTACAGGGTTATTAACTAAAGTGATAATTCAAATTTAATGTCACATATAAGTTCAAAGTACCCGAACTGGGAGAATTCTCAGAGCCATCCATGACCGTTCAGCTACTTAAATCTGAAACCCACTTTGAATTCTCAACTTCGTACATAAACACTTCAGAAACCCTTGCTGTACAAATGAATCACTTGTTCTGTTAGCTGGTCTGGAGACCACTCTATGCATGATCTGCACAGCCTGGAAATTTACAGCAAATAAATGTGGCTACCTCCCTTTTATTTTATTTATTTTTTTTAATATATGCATGCATGCATATTTTTTATGCATTAAATGAATGTGGCCACGGCAATTTTTTTATTTTTACTGAAAATCATGCAGTACTTTGACGGGTAGTTTTACAGCAGTTGAAATGGGGGGGGAAGTATTATGTTGGGGTGTCCCCTTTGAATATTTTATTGATGGAAACTGTATAGTGTTGTAAGTGAAACTGCTATCGAATTACTGTAAAAAGGTGAGAAAGTCAGAGAGATCTAGTGGTGAGTTGTGAATAATTCAGTATCTGATCAGAAGTTAGTGCTGTGTGGAAATAGGCTTAAATATTCTATATTCAATGCCAAGCTAATACTTTCTGAGACTGTAAATATTTACCTTAATGTGTCCATGTGAATTAGTTGAGTCCAATTGATAGATTCACTAGGCAAAAGAAAGGCGGATGAATTCTTGAATCAGACTATAGACTGCTCTGCAGTGAGGCAGGCACACCAAGGAGGATCATTGTATAGAATGCCCCTTTATTTTCAATCCTCAGAAGAGATTTAACCAGGAGAGAATAGAAGTTTAGTACTCCCTCTTTATGCTTTCTAAAACCTCTAAGATAGAATTAAACTTTCTAAAAGTGTTTTGAAGATATAAAATTAACTGACAGCAGGCCTGTCTGTTTTTATACTGTTCAAATACATAAAGAATATTCACCAACTGTATCTTCTTTCCACAGATGCATTCTGAAAATGGATCATCACTGCCGTATCCTTTGTAAATGACACGCCTAAAATGATTAGTAAATCTTACACTTTGATAATTGCAAGTCATGAGTAAAACATTATATTTCTCAGATTCATGTATTTTATTAATTTTAATCATTAGTGAGCATAACGTTTTTGCTCATTGACTGTATTCCTATAATAATTACTACTCCAGTTGAAGGAACTAATTGGGCAAGGAATGGACACAATGACTCCTAGCATAGTAATCACTACTTTAAGCTGTTACAGTGCTGTGCTAAGATCGTTCTTCTGATATTGGGGCATTCTGTATCTGTTTCACTTGGGGCTGAGCAGGTGCATTAGCGGTACAAGTTATCCTTTAACTCCTTTTAAAGCTTGGTTGAATAACTGTGTGGGCCACTACAACCACCGCTATTTCTTCTCCTTCTGCCTGTTTATGACCCTGGGGTGCATCTACTGTAGCATCAGTAGTCGTGTAATGTTCCGGGAGGCCTATACAGCCATAGAGGTAAGATTTCTTGTAGTACATCACAACACTTCTGAGAATGTTAATTAAATTGTTTTTATGGCTCCTATTTTATGAGTAAATTTACCATATGTATTTACAACTTTGTTTGAGTGTTGTAATCTTAAACCTAGAGAAAAAAAAAAGCTCTTTCTTTCTCTTTTCCCTTCCTTTCAAAAGGGTTATAGGTTATAATATATCTGCTTAGGTTATTTTACCACTAAAGTGTTCATTATAACCAACAGCATGCACATGAATCTCAAGTATGATATGTCACAATTGCAACATTCAAAATAAATCACACTTGTACAATTTCACCTTAAAAAGATAGCTTTAGTGTAATGCTTTCTGAAGAAGTTTTGTTTTGTGAATTTTTTTTGTTTATTTGTAAAGTGGTCCAATCGCTGGGATAATTATCTTGTTTCCCATGGTGCTTGCTTCACATTTGGAACATAGCAACAGTATTTGCAAGATTTTTATAAATCTACAGCTTGTATTTCTGTCGCTCTAGGTTAAACAATCAAGATTCTAAAATGGCATAAAACCTTCTTCAATTAATCTATTTATTTTTTTATTTTACCAAATATAAAGAGCTCTTAAGGTGATTTGATACATGCCCGACAAATGTCAGTAAGTGGAACTGCAAGTTCTAGAAGCATTAACTTGGCACGTTGTATACATCTGTCTCATGCTCATCTTTTATTGGCTGATCTGAATTCTATATTTGCAGCAATGCCATGCAGATACAGAATGTTCCAAATGTATACATGAAACATTGTATCACAGGAATGGGGAAAAAATGTGTTGTTTTTTGCAGTCTTTTAAGACCAATGTATGAATTGTGGTTCACAATTCCAACACATCACTAGGGGAAAAACCAAAGTCTTAAATCTCCATCATTGCGTTGTGGTGTGTCTGGAGAAATGGGCGAAGGACTGTGAGGTAATTGTGGCACTATCTTCCCTTTTACTAGAAAATGAAACACCAAGACAAGGCCATGCTTCAGGTTGCTGTTAATGAGGTGGGATAAAGACGTTTTCGGAAACCTAACGTTTGTCACCAGTAGAACTAACATGTGATGTAAAACATGGCACCAAATCCTCTGTTTGTTTGTTTGTTTTTTATTTCTGAGCTTGGAAAACTCCTGTTGCCGAGGAGCCTTATTCCTCTATAAAATCTTTTTTAAAAATAATAATTTTGTTGGTACTTTTCAGATTTTTATTTTAATGTAAAAGTATTGATGTTTACTGGCTCATCCAAAGATGGTAATGGCTCCTAATTAATCCATGATTCAGGGTTTTGGTCGATTTCGTGTCCACGCTTGATTCAGTGTTTTGATTATTCACTAAAAATAAGTAGGGGAGTAGCAGAGAGTTTGCAGCTTATCAGTGAGCTGTGCTACTTTTAGTCTTTTTGAATAGAAACCCAGTATTTTACGCAAGGGCTGAGAAGTATTGACTCTTTATTGGGCTATGGCCCATGTAGACCAAGATTACTCAGAATGGTTTTACACTGAATCATGCATCATGCTCTTAAAACTTCTGCTTTTCAGCAGTCATATGCACCTTGTGTTTTAGCCTGTTGCTGAGCCATATGTTTGTCTGTGTTTGCTTGCTTCTGTTGTTGTTGACTGCGTAGTAATCTCTATCTATATAATCATTCATTTTTAATTAATTTCTTTAAGGATACTAAACTCCAGTAGCTATTTTATTACTACCTATAATTTATAAACCCTATAATAAAAAAATAAAACTTATAAAGACCATCCCCAACTAAGGAAGCGGTTGTGTTCTCAAAAAACTCACTTTTTGATTCCCCAGGCTGCTAAGTAAAGCACACAAAGTGCTACATCAATGAATGGGATATAGGGATTTTTACTTGTTTTACAGGAGTATGTGATGGAGAACAAAGCAGAAATTGTACTTGCTTTGTTTTTTGAATCATAAAACATTGGTTTGTTTCTTTGATGGACCCATGCTATGATAGATTCTATGTATTAAAGAACTGGGTACTGAGAGCTAGCTCAATGTATTATTTGTGGTAATCCACTTTTATATTAAATAATTGCAAAGGAAAACCACAGACACACTTTACATATTCACTATGAAGACCATTCAGAAATAACATTGCAGTAGAGCTACGTCCATGTTGTTTTTTTCGTGTTTTTATTGAATGGTTTTGCTTAGAATGGCATTTGTTGCCATACTTTGTGGTATAATGGCAGAGAGTCTGCTTTTAAAGTCCATCAGTAAATGCTGGCTTGGGGCAGGCAGCCATCTGCACTCCTGATGGTGTGGACTGCATGTCCTATAATGGTCTTAAAGCGATAATGCTGGAAAAGCGTCAGGGGAGATGTAGTCTATGACATCAGGAGTGGCAACTGTGGCCTACACCCTGCTGTACGGCTTATTCACAAAACCATGCTCAGCTGGGAATTGACCAGAGAACTTCACAATTTCAGCCTAAATGTCTGAACCACAAACATAGACGAGTTGGTTTTTTTTGTCTAAAATTGGAATTTCCTTGGTGAATGCATGGAAAATTACAGTTTAGTGAATAATTCTGTTAATCTTTAAAAAATAATAAATATATACACACACACACAATTTATACAATTTCAATCTATTTTATATATAGCCATATGAAACTCGTATCTTGTAATACCTTTTTTATTGGACTAACAACATTTTTAAATTACAAGCTTAGGTAGATCGAGATGACTTATTTCCTTAGGTCAGTTATTTAGTAAATATATAACTAAACACTTCAGATTACACTAAGCAGTAGCATTCTCTCCATCTCTACGTGATATCAGTGTTGCTTTATTATTCGTTTTACTGTCTGCATACCTTTCCTACCGCTTACATCACTAACTGTGCTTTTTTGACTTTCAAATGAATATAAACCATCCTCTAACTGAATCTGTTAATTTGTTATTCTGTTGTAGTGTCTGCCCAACTGTAATTCATGTTATTAAATGTTTTTTAGTTTTCGTTGTTTTACTTTAATCTGTTATTTATAATTTTATATAAAATCAATGGGTGCATGCCAAAATGTTAACTTCTAAAAGCTACTATAATTATTACATTCTTTCTTGTCCAAACTATAAATGCCAGTTAAATACCTAAATAAGATATGCATTAATTGATTTGACCTTACCTCAAATATTCCTTTCAAGAAAACATTTTATTACGGTGCTTGTATTAATTGCATGGATTAAAGTGCCACTCCAACCCATGGCTTGACAAATTTGCTTTGAATCAATGAGCTTGCTAAAAAAAGTTAGATAGGTTTTTGTTTTTTACACTAACAGAGCTTTAGTTTCAATTGCAGAAATAACCGAACTTAAAGGGTCACTCTAGTCACCAGAACCACTACCGCTTAATGTAGTGGGTTTGGTGTCTAAAGATTGTCCCTGCAGGCATTTCACTGTAAAAGAGTTATTTTAACCCTATAGTGTCAGGAATACATGTTTACATTCCTATAAATTTACACATAAAGAAGACACACAGACATTCTCACTGAGAGAGAGGCACGCACATTCTCTCACACATTTACACATTATTTGTTTTATTTTAATTTATGTCCACCCAGCTTCCTACCTTAGGGAGAGCTGGAGTGGATCCTTTCCCTTGGGTCCAGTGGAGCTGCTGTGATCCTGTAGCCTTCTTTTTCTGCTCCCTCGCAGAGCAGGAAGAGCATCAAGATTGCTGCTTCCCTTCCATTCAGCCCCATCGTGGTTCCTGAAATTTGTTGAGCCCTCCTCCAACCATCATAACCACTACAGCCTGCCATTTTTGGTTAGGTTTTTGCCATATGAAGTTTAATTTGCTACAATTCAGAGTTCAGTCAATAACCATTTTAGCGTTTTGCCAGGCCCAAAAAGAAGCCATAGTGGGTAATGGTGATCATAACCAAAGAGGTCTGGCTAACAAGAAGTACAGACTACGTTTAAATTGCTTTGCTTGTTGCAGTGACATTTTAAACTTAGTTGCTGTACATTTATTTTCTTGTTTGTTTTACATCTACAAATCTAATATTGGTTTCTTGTTTCTCCTAGACCTATAACCAGACACCACCACCCAGCTTTTCCTTCAGAGAAAGGGCTTTCCACAAGTGCATCATCTACCTGTGGGTGCTATGCAGGTAAAAACTATTTCTTGTAAGCATTACAGTAATTACTAAACCTGTGTAACATTTTGTAATACATAGGAAAAGATTATATTAAAGCTTCTGATTGCACACATGCATTCCCAATGAACCGTATATACTTCTGGAAATGTTTAATAAAGCAGTTTTACTGTATAGATCTGCTTAATTCGCTGCCATTTAGGAGTTAAATCTCTTTTTGTTTTTGTTTATGCAGTCCTAGCTAAACCTCCTCTGGCTGTTACTGACACAGCCTGCATGAAAAAAATGGTTTAATTTTTAATTCCACATGAACATGCTTTAGACATCTTTATCTCCTGCTCTGTAAATTGAACTTTAATAATACACATAAGGTTCCTGCAGGGTCTAGAAGGCTATTAAAAGAGCAGGAGATATACAATTCTAAATTAAACAGGCTTTGCAATAAAAGAAGTTTAAAAATTAGGTCTCTCTTTTCCTAACCTTAAAGTGTTCCTTTAACTCCCAAATGGCAGAAAATGAGCAGTGAACCTGCAGGGGCATGATCTACATACCAAAAAGTTGTTTTGGTGCATATAATGCCCATTCAATCTAGACTTGCAGCCCACCTTCAATAATTTAGCTAAGTGGACATGTTTTTGTTTTCCTAACATCCTTATTAATACAGCAGTTTTGTTAAAAAAAATACATTTGTTCTAGAACTTCAGTAACTCTGTGGGATGTTAAAGTGACATTACACACACTAATCCTGGATTGCAACAAAAATATAAAATAATTTTTGCTGTGAACCCATCATTATTCCTCCTTGGCAACGATTTGCCCAAAATAAATATCAACAAATCTCTTGGTGTGTGTTCCTCCCAAGCTAAGGGTTTTATACTTTAAATGTTTGAAAAAAGTACTAATTGAAGGTGTGCCTTCAGTAACAGAAACTGATGACTAATAAATCCTTCGTTCTGAAAGGCTGAGTGATGATTTATGGGCGAGCACACCTTCCTAATTGTTACTCTATGCAGATTAACCAAAATGGCCTTAGAAAAATCAAAGTTAAGTTTTTATGGTGCCAGGAGGACCCTTGCACTTACTTGAACAATATAATCCCAAGGTCTGCTCTGCTGCGCCATTTCTCTTTGTCCTCATCTGCTTTCAGAAATGCTTCTAATGCTTTTGCCTGGCATGGGCACCGCTAATTGGCTTAGCGTGGTGAGCGGATGATCTAAGCCAATCAGTATTCATTAAAAACACTTTGAAAAACGTATGTACATGTTTTAAAGGAAATGTGGACTTGAAAAGAGCAGACCATTTTGAACGGTTTAACCCCTAAGGACAAGGAAACATCAGGAACCTCCTGGCAACATAACTTCATTTTGATAAACTTTGTTATAGTTCCTTTTCCCTTAAGACATTAGAGAGAGAATTTTACCCAATGTAACTTTTTTTTTATCCCCGTTATGACTGTGTGTCTTCAGCTCTGTAGCACTGGCGCTTGGTGCCCTTACATTGTGGCACGCCATGTTGATTACCCGTGGGGAGACCAGCATAGAAAGACATATCAACAAGAAAGAACGAAAGAGACTGCATGCAAAAGGAAAGGTACTGACATATAATCCAATGTATATTAGTGAATGGTCAGTCATTCCCCCATAGTGCATAAAGTGTAGACAATGGCGACACTGGTCGACAAAGTGGATTTCAAATTTTACGCAACAATAGCCAAACGGTAAAAAACATAGCTCGAGATATTCTTCAATTTTAATGTATTTGCCTGAAATTATGACATTCGTTTTGAATTCCCAGCAATTCACACTTTGAAAAAATGTTCTTTTCCTTTATCTGATTACTCATTAAAGTGGTTATTGTGATCTAAAATTAGAAAATCAAATTGCAAAAACTTTCCCCAAAAAATGTTGTCCTTAAATGTCAAATTCATATTGAATGCGCGCTAATTACAGTTTAGTGAATAAATCCAGAACCATGTTCTTTAGTAAAATTGCCGTTTCACATGATCCCCTAAAAGAGAGTGTCTGTTTACCACATACTGGCGTGAAAGAGAGGACAGCCAGGATATATTGCAAGGTATTTTTAAAAATGTTTAGATCGCCTTATAGTTGCCCAGAGCTACAGTAGAGGTAGAGGTAAAAGTTTCATATTTTAAATTCTTTATTTTTCTTGTGCATAAGAAAACATAACAGATGGGCCTGTAGCGCACGTTGTTTATATTTATGAAAGTAAACAGGCTAGGAATACTTGAGCAGGACTATAATAGCGTAATTAGTCTACGCATGCAAGCTTGTATATTAGTAATGGGATTAGTTAAGTTTAACCGTAGTTTTGCTTATACAAAATGTCATGTGTACAATAGTAATTACAGGTTGAATAGTTAACCATAAAATATGCGTGGTATAGGTACAGGTGCATGAGGCCTAACGTTGCTGAGATTGCTGAGTAACTAGCTGAGAAGCCTGGCTGTCTCATCGGGTTGTGCCTATGCGACTATTCAATAGTTGCCCTCTAAATATACTTAGTTAAAGATTTACGCCTAATATGATTAGTCGTGGTATTTGAGCAGGTCTCTTATGACAATAGGTGCAAGATTATGCGTGAACATGCTATGTGTCATATGTTAGGCAGTGGTTTAATGTACAGGTAGACCTGGAGCACAGAGGTAGCACAAAATAATTAAAGCATAAACAAATCAGAAATAAACCATGGACAGAAACATTCGGATGCCTTTGATTGCATTCACGTGGGGAAGTACAGTGAGGCTGGCATTAGTGAGTGCGAGTCCCATCCGTGACGGTTGCCGCTTGTGATCAGGACTCCAATGATGGTGCGGCTGCAAGAAGCTTGTCAGCGCTTAGCCAATGCCCGAAGTGGGAAATCAAAAGTCTTGCACTTCGGGGGCTAGGGAGGCTGCAGCATTCAGGCGGTTCAGTTGAGCATCCCTCCCGCCCCAGGCCGGTTGGTAGGCCAGCATCCTCTTGCCACGGACGTGTGGGCTCCTAGGGTCCCAGTCCTCCCCTGCATGGGGTAGATGGGAGGTCGTGGTGGTACTCCGCTGCCGGTTGCGGGCGATCCTCCGTCTGCATGGGTGATGCCGTGGGGCTGTGCCCGTTTCGGCCCTCGGCCTACGTGATCTCTGACTAATAGGCTTGTGTATATTTAATGTGTGGGGGATCAAAGGGGGCCAACTCACCGCCCTACCGTGAACCTCCCTGTGTTGAATTGCTGCTGCGGCTTGACGGGCTTCCAGCTTAGCCCAGAAACGGTCGAAAATGTAATCTAGCTTCTTCTGCGTTATTTGCGCGGGAGTTAGCAGTGCCGTCTCAGACTGCGTGATGGCTGGTTCCCGCTGGATATTACAGGCCGCTATTTTGTGAGCTTTGCTAGGTTGTAGTTTAGTGGGGCTGATTCGTGCATGAGACTAGCCAGGTCGGACCGGGATGACCCCCGCCGGTTCAAAGGGGGGGGGGGAAACAGGGCTGAGAGAAGAGCTTGGGGTTGCACAGCTGCACACCGAGCGGGGGATGGGCCGCTTCCCCCGTCCGACGGCTGCACTGGGCCTCACTCCTCCGACCTCCGTCGGCCGTGTAGTGTACCCGCGGGCGACAGACCCGGGGTTCCTCTGCTGGCTCCAGAGGTAGGTAAGTCTCTTTTCGTGGCGTTATGGCTGGCTGGCTAGATTCAGGCTTAGTTGAGGCATTGAGCTCGGAGCTCACACGAAGTGCGTCCAGCCGCCATGATGTCCAGGCCCAGCGTAGAGGTAAAAGTTATACTTTCTTGTCTCAGTCTATCTTCTTTCCTCACCTCCTGGAGCCCACTTCACTGCTGTAGTTTTGCAAATAAAGACAGATGTCTGTAGAGTATCTTGCAAGAGGAGCCTCCATAGATATCATATCACCATAAGAAAAACAATACCAGATTCTCACAGATGTTGCCAGAGACCGCTGTTGGAGTTCAGATAATTTGATGGTGGAAGCTCTGAGTTTTGTGAAATTTGGATTTTACCATAAGACAAAGTACTCCCTACTTTGTCTTTAATCTTCATGAAATGATCGTTATTTTTTGGTGTCCGAGCAACTTGAACACTTTAGTTTAGCCCACATAACAACTTGGTATCAATAAAGTAGTGATGTGGCAGGAGTCTAAGTGCGCTTCACCTCACCGGGTAAAACCTCTTGTTTTGTCTTAAGCTCCTGTTACTGTGGAAGGACCCCCAGGTGCAGGGGACAACTTCAGAGTTTCACCAATAATAATAAAAAAGGAACTCCAACCTCCACAATAACTTCATTAACATGCAACTGTTGGAGTGGCCATTTTCTGTGGTGCACAATTTGGCTTAGTAAAGGAGAACTCAAATCAAATATCACTGGCCTGGTTTGCACTGATTACTACACACCAAGTATAAATACATTATGGAAACATTACTAGACTGGTTACCAAAAGCTCAATTAACTGTTAGCTAATCTGTAAGATTTCCAAACATTTGAATGAAGAATAGAACGTTCTATATAAATATTCTTAAATTTGAAGAAGGAAAAAAAAGGCTCTTGTCTGTTGCTGCTCGGTGTTTATTATAAAATTTGGTTGTATGTGCTGGGAGAGAAAAAAACTAACCACTTTTGTTTATTCATTGTGTTAGGTATTCAATAATCCATACAGTTATGGTCGATGTCAGAACTGGAGAATATTCTTTGGTGTAGAAATTGAACAGTAAGTTATCGTGGATGAGTATTTTGTAGAATTGGATGTTTTTGGAGGTCCATGTAACTTGTTTTAATATTGTAATAGTTCATTGGGCAAAATTCATTTTATTTATTTTTATTTTTTGAAAAGGCACAATTACTAGTTAAAGTAAATCTTTTCTGATTTCATTTTGCTCCAGAAACCTGGCATCATTGTCCTGTACCCTTTAACTAGTGTACCTGCAGAGCTGCTTATGAGTGCAGTCATTTACACTCTGACATCAAGAGGAATTTTTACTTGCTCTTTTTCTGCTTCTAAAATCTGTCCAACTCAGGCAAACAGCAGCAAAATAGCTCTTAGCTCCCGGTGCTGATTTCAGCTTATTGCAGGTCCCCTCAATCTGTGTGAAGAGTGGAATTGCTGCTATGGGTGAGCTATAAACTATGTATCCCATTATTCTTCCTGGACTAAGAAACCATATCAGAATGTAAGGCTCATGGCTACAGCTCCTTTCTAGTAGAGGGGTCTTCCTGCCTGAGCTAGTACTACAGTTATGGGAGAGAGATATATATATATATATATATATCTCATTTTTTTTTTTAAACATGTATTTTAAGTGTCACTGTCTGGGGACTTTGCGGAATTCAGACACGTGCCGGTAATTTAACTCTGGGAATCCAGTTTGGGGGAGGTAGGTTAAGGTGAGGTTTCCTTATCTGAGCCAGTCCCTTACGGCTGCGGCCATCTTGTTCTGGGGGTTCTTCTCCAGTTTGTCACTTTAGCGCCAGGAACCAATGTCACTGCTGTACTCTTGTACTTCCTACTTTTTCTCTGTACATCTCTTGGCTGGGTTGGAATGTAAGTGAAATCCCAGGACAGTCAAAATAAGTATTTCAGAAAGACTCTCTCTTTATGAAATACTCATTTTTCATGGGGGTTATAGTTCTGCTTTAACGCATTATCCATATAATTCATTAACAAAAGGGGTCAATTATTGTTGTGTCCCAGCAAAAGGTAGAAGGATTAAATTAGCATGAGTGCACTGACATCCTCACAGCTCAAGATTGGGATGGAAGGAAGTGACCTGCACAATGATCTCTACCAAATCTTGTGAAAACAGTCTCCCCTCTTAAACATTGTTTCTCATCCAACAGCCACGGGGATGGCTGCATTACCTTAAACTTCCATTTTGTAATCCTAATCCACTAGACATAGGGGAACCTTGGCAGACCCCACACTTTTTTTTTTTTTTTTTTTTTAAAAAAGCACTCATTCTCCCTTCCCCGCCCCATGACAGACTAGGCCGCAGGGATAGGCAACCTTTGGCACTCCAGATGTTTTGGACTACATTTCCCATAATGCTGGCAAAGCATCATGGGTGGTGTAGTCCAAAACATCTGGAGTGCCAAAGATTGCCTATGCCTGGACTAGGGGCTGGGAATAGGAAAGTGTGATGGCATCCCAGGCGCTTGCAATATCCACCATCTCGCATATTACCAGGAGGGAGCCTGGAGCCATAAATACACTACTAAGCATGGTGAACCAAGTGGATCCACGTACGTGTTTGTAGCTAAAGGTCATTCATCCAGTGGTACTTTCAGCAACTGCTTCAAAATTCAGATAAATCTGGAATTCTCTAAATCCAAATGCCAGGGCTGTTACTGTTGTGCTATGTATTTTATTCTTTAGAGACTTTTAAAATGAGGTGGCATGTGTAAGGTGTCTGTCGTCTTCTGGGCTCTTTGCATATTTTGCAACGATACCCAAAGGTGACTTTGTCTATGGAGGGTCTCACAGGATCTGCCCTAAACAAAGTATTTTCCTCACAGCTGGCACTAGTGACAGCAGTAGGTTCTGCCTTTTAATGAACTTTAGAGAAATGAAAAATAGAACTAGACAGATTAGTATATTATCAAATTCTACTATAATTATAGCTGGTGCATTTTAGCCTCATTTTGTTTTGCTCAGTCTATGGTAAAGTGGATCCCTTTTAGAGACCAGCCATTCCCACCTCATACTGAAATATTCTGTTATTTATACCTTTTGGTACATTACACAATAACAAGTACCAGAAATTCTGAAATGTTCTTTTTTGTTTCCTCTTCAGGCATTGGATTAGTAGAGTTCTGTTACCATCCTCCCACCCCCCAGATGGAAATGGTGTGACCTGGAATGCACCATCCTGGACTCAAAATAAGCCGAAATCTGTCCTTGCAATATGATTTGGTGTTTTTCTAGGGAAAGATGCAGAACATGTAAACCATAGCACTAGTCTGAAGATGTTTCTTGGTAGACCCTCTGATATTTGTACTGTATTAAAAATAGAACCAATATTTAATACCTTTGATAACTGCAGCATATTGCTTGCACCCCTCAGGTAGGGATTTAATTTAATTGAACAGACTTTTTAACCACCACTCCCAAAAAAGGGATACACTTTGTAATGGCTGCTGCTAGTAGTTTGTTTTGTTTTGGTTTTTTACAGATAAACGAGAAGCCGACCATCATTTCTCATTAACAACTAGACTAACCAACTTAAAATAATGCCATTAACAAGAATATTTCATTAAAGATGATCATGACATTTGATTCAACAGTTGATTTTAGTAAAGAAGACACTGAACAAAACCAACTGTTGTGAATGGTAGCTTTAAGTCATAACAAAAAAAAAATCTGTATTAAGACACACGTCAGGTGTTTTGAAAATAGTAATATCATGGTACAATAATTTATTGCTGGTACCCTTAAATCTAGTACAGACAGCAGGCCAGGCTGTAACACCAGTGTAGGACACTTTAATAAACTAGAAACAAGGAGCCCCTGCAACTAAATCTGCCTTTAACAAGAAATAATTAGGCTCTTTATATTCCTGTAACCCAATCATGTTTCTTGCGAGTTATATTGGCTCCCATTGTTAATAATGTTATGTAAATACACGTGTTGATGCAGACCTTTAACACTATTTAAAATATTTTGTACAAATGAAATTTTGGTGAACAGTTGTGTGTGTGTGGCATCATCCAGTACAAAATCTTCTTCAAACAAGTTTAGGAAACTTTATTTATCGGTGTCAGGGCAATGTTTTAGTATTTTTGTTAAATGGTATATGTTCCATCATTAAATCAGTGTGATTAATGCCTTAAAATGTGTGTATTAAAGATCTAGATTTAACGTAAACATTTTAGCTCGTACTCATTCATTTTGGCTGCCAGACAATGGAATTTCTAAATGGATCATTAAATGAATCAAACCCATCTGCAAAAAAATGCTGTAACCAAAAAAAAAACTCCACAGCTATACATAGTTTAAAACACTCTGAATGCAAAAATGTGCAATACAGTTTAATTTATTTGGTTAATAAGGGGTTAGAACTCATGGCAGCTTTCTATCCACTTGTTACACTCTGTAAAGCTTGAGCTAGGCTTTTTATTTCATACTTCATTACGTCAAATATTCAGCATCTTCTACCTGTAAAATTCATGGGTAACATCGCTTGTTCTCACTTAGTGCTATCAAAACAGTTGCCATGTAACAAGTGGAAAGGAGAGGCATTCACACTGTTTATTTACTAACCAGTGATCTTGCATATCCCGGCTACACTAGTCAAGTTGGCTTAAGACAAAAAAAAAAAAAAACTGAACTATAGCTTTATACCAACTCAGCTATTTTGGTCTCAAGTTTGGTCTTATTCACAAAACTTTTGAGCAGTAACAAAACGGCTACTATATCGTTTTGGTTTTCAAGATTTGAGTGTACACATGGTTCCCCACATAGTAGAAACAGCTAGGTGAATCTAACATAGCTGAAGTCGGAACAAAGTTTCACTCCACTCAACCCTGTTAAGAGTATAGCCAATTTCGTAATTATGTCAAAGCAAAAGTAAACAGCCTATTTTACCATATTTCTAATTTGAAATATTTGTTGCTCTGGTCAAGCTGCAGCTAGTTAGTAATCACTAAACCAAGAACCACATTTTAAAAAATCTCAAACACTGCTGTTTTCGCTTGACATTTACAATTTCCTGTCAAATTTACAGTTTTGTGAATAACAGTTCTTAAACCGCAAATCCACAAATTACAGTCGATAACTGTGGGGTTCAAATGACTGAGCTTGAAATTTAATGAATAGACCCTACTTGCTTCAGATTGGCTTAGTCACTGAACATGACTTTTTAGAAGCTAGAACAAAAATCTGCCTTTGGAGAATTTTCCCAAATTTATGAAAATGCACATTTTGCAGTTTGTTAAATAAACCTGCATTAACCCACGCAGAATCCATTTAAAAAAAATAAATTAAACAAAAGTGGAGTATGTTCTCAGATTCCTTCAGTATGAAAATCACTGGAAAAGTCAGAAATATGTGCAAAACGCACTTACAAGTCAGTTTATGCAACAGTCTCAATGCACCACATCTGTTTGAAATCTTTACTATTATGAAAATAGAAAAGAAATTCCAGTTAGAACACACATCCTATAAGCTTTAACATCACTCAGACCAGACAACTTATTCCCCTAAAGGAAAACATAGGCCATTTATCTTAAAATCAGGCCACAGAACTGGCGATTAAAGCACATTACTATACTTTACAATATACATTATATATACTTCCTCTTGATGACATGCCAGATCATTTTCTAGTGTAAACTTGTGCTACGGTAGTTCAAGTGCAATATAAGCAAGCCAACGAGTGTCGTTGGCCAACACAGACAAGAACTGAAATTATTAAGGGTGTTATGGAATGAGTTCATGAGAGAGATGGTCAGGGTTTGGTGTCCTTCAGCAGGAACGAGTGGCTAAACAAGATGGCACTTTGTTTAAGATATTTATGATCTAGTATAGCAAGTTAGTGGCATCCTGGTTAGATTGTCTCCGTGCAAACAGCGCTAGCTACCAACGTCAGTTTCAACTTCCTGGGCTTCCAAGTAAAAACCTAGGAAGAAAAGAAACACAGCTTGTTTAGCAAAATGTATAGCAATTTCAACTTTATGGCTGTGAGGTTAATTAAGCTATCCCACCATCTATTCTGCATAGTCTTTTTGCTTGTCCTAAAAGAGAAACGTAGTGGTGCAGGCCAGAAGACTGTATTTAAAAAAACCTTTTAAAAAGCAATTAAACGTACCCGAAAATCAACAAGTAGCATATTTTTCCCTTGATGAGATGATGCTAACGGATGCTCTGTACTCAATCATGTGCTTCTCATTGAGAAGCTTTAGAGACATTAACATCATCATGCTGTTTGTGATGACCCCAAACAGGGAAGACCTATTTTGGAGGGTCATAAGGAAGATGTGTATCCAGTCTGACAACCAGAAGCGTGTATTCTGACAAATGTAAACAGCCGTTTCTCAGAAACTCCCAAGAAATCATAAATCTATGCACCAAGTCTTGAGTGTCACTAATGTGATAGGATTATCCATGGTGCCGAGGTCACAGGGCTTCAGCCGTAAACGCCAGTGATGCAATCTAAGAGGTACAGGACTCTTAAGTGGAAAGTAAATCATATGCAAAGAGGAATAAGACTAGACTGCTGAGATGACTGCACACATCTATTACAAAGGGAATTTCCAGTTTGTGTTTAAAAAAACTCACTACTTACCTGACCCTCCGTTCCCCCGTCACAATCTCTTTACAGAAGTAGGTGTTACACTTAACACCAACCTCTGGTCCCAACATGCTTCTCCTCTGCTAATTTTCACTGATTGGACACACTTCCCTGGGCAGTGCAAACTTCCAGGACGCCTGTACGCTGACTGTCGCATCACTCTGTTCCTATTCTCCCTAGTCAGCTCTAGCCACGCCGACTAGAGAGTTACCATAGCAACATCACTGTGGTTGCTATGGGTAAAAAGAAGGACTTCCTGTGCAAGGTAACTTTTGCTCTCCCTCAATTCCTCAAGCCGGTGAGAGAAAAACCTTGTTAGCAAAACAGCTAGCACAATGTAAAGATGCAATTAAATGTTTTTGCCCATGACATGTTCCCTTTAAGCAATTTGCAGTGGCTTTGTGTGAGCTTATAACAGTACTGAAGTGACCTGGGAAAGTTTTCTCTTGCAGAGAACAGTTAAAACGTTTACATTTCTTGCTTGCCAGTAATAATCCCTAATTAAAACCATGAAAAATTGTTACATACCATTGGCAACGAGCCTCTACTGCCTCTTTTCTCACTAGCCTTTTCTTATCATCCAATGGTTTAGCTAAGGCACGGATCACTTGCTGCTTGTAAGGCAGGAGCTGTTAAGAAATGCATTTCCAGTAAGATTTTCATATTTAGGAAAAATAGTTGTAGTTCTTAAAGGACTGGTAGATTGCTTGGATCTTTGACCTAGTCACAGTCCACATGCAATTACAAATAGTTATGTTACCTTACAGACAACGGTGTTAACTCTGGTATAAAGCTGCATCAGTTATACAATCAGGTCTGTCACATTTAAGATGATTTTTTTTTTTGATTTTTTTTTTATCCAGTTAAACCCCTTCTAAAAAGACACATTGAAAGAATTATATGCAGTGGCTTTATCATCATTTTGTGCAGAATGAATTAATCTTAAGTGAAATCACTGGAATAATGGAGAAATCTTTTAACCAGAACGTCGATTTTTATTAAAAACTGTATTTAAAATTTCCTTAGTGGTGTTCACTAAACCACTTTTGCACCATGCATTTATATGACTACACAATATACAACGTTAGATGAAAATGCTAAAAATGGATCTCTTTAAATAATTATATTTTTTGTACTTATTAATCAAACTTGTATTTTTTTTTTTTCAATAAAATTTTAAATAAATGTTATCTCTTACCATGTGCAAGGGCAACTTTGTAAGAGCAAGCATACACTTCAAAGCTGTAATCCGCACAGTCTGTAGAAATAAGGGACAGAATATTAACTGAGCGTCCTGCAGTATTCCAGGAATTTTCTTTGAAATGTTCGTACATGATAAAGTATATTGGTATAATACCACACTCGTTAAAAGCACATAAAACAGCAGACACACCCAAGCTTACATGTATTATGTTTCTCATAGAGGAATGCAAATTAATCTTTTTAGGAGCTACCGCAGACCAGAAAAAACAACAACTAGGTATCGGTTGGAAAAAGCACATTACATTTATCAGCCCTAGGCAACTACTTTAGTAAATTGTTTTCTGTAGCAATACACATTGTCCATTATAGAAACACTCGTTTGACATTGAGGAAAGTTAAATGAAGGCATTTTGCACA